CCTGAAAAAAATCCCAAGCCTTTCCTTGGAACCATCTTGATCTCCGTTCTTTGCTTCCCTCTACTCTGGTATTACACGACCATTTTGGAGTCAGCTCATGTCCTCTTATTCTCTTACACTCATGTTACACTTTCTACAATGCTGATGTGAAAGGACGTTTAATTATGTCTTTTTTTCTAGAAGATTCTACTGCTTTCTGTCTCTATCGTGTACTCGTATGTGTATCTGTCCCCTGGCTATTTAAAACGCCCAGACCCCAAAACCCAGTGGGTTCGTGCGCAAGAAACTGACTACCTGCATAGCAGTGGCTGCAACCACTTTAAGACAGTCTGACGAACTAAGATATCAAAGCAGAGACTATTAATTCTCACGAACACACACTTTCCAAAGTTCTTCTGTGCATTCCAAAGTCGGCATACGTGGACCAACAGAAAAGCTCAGTCATCAATAAAAATGTGCAATGGTACAGGTTTGACGCCTCTGTCAACACTGTCATGTTATTTAAGAGGCGGGGCCGTCTTGTCTAACGTCCATCGAGCCAAATTGGACATAATTTGTGTAAAGAACACAGTAAAGTGCCTTTTCCAAGGAAACAATGTTGGACCCAGCTTTGGCTCGCGAACCTCCAAGCCCGCAGTCTCACAAATGTCGGGTGGCCTAACCACTGGGTTACCGACGCCACATTAATTACGATGTATTTTGCAGCATGACCACAAGACTCCGACTATAAGACCTCCACCCCCATTCCGTCTTTTCTGTAAACTAAATTACGTTGAAAAGGACATGAAATTAACTTCAAAAAAGAATCCACAGCTTTAGATGTATCATCTGTATTATGTACTTCTATATAAAATCAACACATACAATGAAAAGTACCCATTGTGTGTTTTGTGTAGCTAGTTTATTACTGGTATCATAAGATACAAAGGTAGCAAAAATAAATGTGTTATTATCATTATTTTTAAAGTATGGAGATGTTGTCTTTTCCCCTCTCAAAGAGAGACAGAAAAGAAAACATTTCTTCATTCATCCGTTCTATAGAAGAGCATTTTACAATAGCATACAAGGGCATGCAAATCACGAGTAGCACAATATACATTTATAAGAAACGACAAAATCACGAAACGTATTAAAACGAACAACGAACAAACCACTGCCGGGCCTCAGTGTGATAGCCTAGGGTGGAGCGCACTGTTTCACAGCGTGGGTTAACTGTCTTTCTCAATGGGCCACACACACACACACACACACACACACACACACACACACAC